AGTCTCCAAGTAGGAGGCTGCCAGTAAACCCGCCTATGGCAGGGACCCTTCCTTGCACCAGCCCAGCTATGACTGCCTTCCACACACCCACAGCAGAGAGGGGGAAACCATAATGTCAGTGCTGTCACAGGGTGCAGCATTGCCAGGATGTGCTACTGCCTGGGATTGATGCCTCTGGTCTGTCGGCCTCGACGCTCGTATTTGAGTCCTCTGTTCCTACTGACGTGGGCTTTTCTTTCCATCTGAATCATTCAATATGCCTTTGGAGCACAATGGAGCTGTGATTTTTTTCAAAGCCGCCAGCCTGCAGGAAACAGAAGGTCTCTGAATAAAAGGGAGGCTCTTGTTACAACTTCCCTCTTATTTACTGTTCCCAGTAGCAGAGAAGTAAAAAGACAATGAATGAAATGGAGGATTAATCATGCGTAGCACTGAAATATAAACAAGGAGACTACACATCCCAGAGCACTGCTCCAAGCCATGGCTCGTGCCTGCAGCGTGCAAAAATCTTGTAGCACCATGACCAGCTGGACTTCATGAAAAAGGGCAAAAGGCAGAGGAGGCTCCACAGGTGGTTTTTCAAAGGTAAACTTGCAAACTGGGAATTTTACATGGACTTTTCTCTGTTCAGTGCTCTCAAAAGTTCAATTCAAGTTGATATCTCCTGTGCTTAATCACTGGTCCATGACTTTTGCAGAGGAAACTCCCCATTTTCCCATTTTTTCACATTAATTTTAAAACAATAAAAGTTCAGGACAACTCCTTTGTCCCACAGAAGACTTTCAAAAGTGCTTCAGAGAGAACCTACTGTGCTGCACGTTGTGTAGCTTTGCTCCTAAAAAGGGTTGTGGTCATTCGTCTTGCTTCCTTTTCCACTTGCTTTTGGGTCAGTATCCAAATACCAAAAGATTACTAATCATGTTCCTTATTTATTTTTTTAAATCAGAGTATTGATTAATACAGTAAAACCTGTATTTGATTTTCAGCTGTAGAATTTGAGAATTCACCCCGGTCTTTGCAAAGGTGTTGAGCACCTCAAATTAATTGGTAATAAATTAACCTTGGAAGGTTGTTTGTGTGAGGCAGATTACATGCATGCAGCTTTGTGAAGGACCTCAGTGAAGCAAAACACAGGAAAGAAATGTGGAAACGGGGATGTGTAACACAATTCAAATGGCCTGAAATATCTGTAATAAATAGTTGATTTGTGTATCCAAATATCTGCATCTGTCAGGTAAGTTGATTTTTCTGGCCTTGGAATGATGCATTTAATGTGAAGGTTAAAGTGAAGTGGAGACCGTAATTGTACAACTGATAGGGAAGCTGCTCCTTATCCTTATTCAAAAACTCCAACAAAGCTCTAAACTGTTCTTTTTACAGTTCTCTTTAAAAAGTATACACGAAAAAGTTAGTGAAAATTTATTTGAGCCACCTGCAATAATAAAATTGAAGTGACCCAAGTCTGAAAATACCACAATACGTCTCTAAGTGAATATAAAAAGCCAGAACATGTGATATAATTAAGCTAATAACCAAACCCAACCGATGTGTGTTAATACAAGACTTGGAGGATTATGTGAATACAAGTCTAGGAAACCAAAGCAGCAGTGCTGCTTAACTAATCTCTGCTAATAACTCTGCTACCCAGCCTTGGCGCCCGGGGCAGGCAGCGGGCAGGGAGCAGGCAGCAGGCAGGCAGGAGCACTGCCAAAGGCTCCTGGCCTTGCTGTCTCCCTGCTTGCCTGAAGGCTTTACAGCTTGCACTGAGGGATTTGTTTCACTTTCTCTTTCTGCTGTGCAGGGCTGCACTGGACGGGTTGCAACATCCTCCATCAATTACTTACCCTGTTTGCATGGAAATCAAAATATATATTCTTTTTAATAATAAAATTAAATTTTTTTAATACTACCTTTAAAGCCATGCTGATGCTGCATTAAATTAGTCAGTGATACCCTCTTAAATGCCCTTTCTAAATACTTTCTAAGAGGGGAATTGCATTAACCTCTAAGCTGCAACTCCCCTGTTTACACACAGCAAAGGTGCTGCCAGCCTGAGCCTGCCAGGTCCATCCTGGCCAAGACAAGAAGGGTTACCCCTGCAGGTCCCACCAACCCAATCCCCTGGCACTTGCAGCCTCCAGGTGACTCATCTCCAGACGTTTGATTTGCCAGTGGTTCCATGGTGAGGAAGAGAAGGTGGGGAAGAGCTGCCTGCAGTCTCTCATGGTAGGAGTGCTTCCCAGACAGGTCCTTCATTGCTTGCCTTTGATTTTATTCATTTTAGGATAATTAATAATAGAGAGTTCCTAAGCAAACCAAATTTGGACAGTCTTTGGAGATCCAGATAACAAATTCTGGGAAGAGTCTGTTTTTAATCCTTCTACCCACTACAGCAGATGTTGGAGGATCTCAAGTCAGGATGTGGGTTTGCCGTGTGACCTGCTGAGGCCCCTGTGGTTGTGTCTCCCCCTGAGCTGGAGAGACTGATTCTGTCCCAGCATTTTCCCATGAGGATGTGCACACTGACAGCCTTGGGAGATCACAGAATCTGTGTGGCACTGGCTGACTCAACCACACACTGCCAATGCAGCCAACAGCAAACGCAGTTAAAAGAATGATTTTCCAAAAAGCTGCAGTTCCTCAGGGCAGTGAAATACTGAGATTGACTCAATAGTTCATCCCTATAAAAAAACCCTCCACTCCTTCACGAAGACTTACATTCTACACAGATGATTTTCATCACGTGCCAGTCAGTTGCTGTGAGGGAAGGAGGAGCTGTGATGAGGGAGCCGACTGCACTGGTGCGGCCTCACCTTGAATATTGTGTGCAGTTTTGGGCACCACAATATAAGAAAGATATTGAGCTCATAGAGAGCATCCAAAGAAGGACAACAAAGATGGTGAACAGCTTTGAGGGGAAGCTGTATGAGGACTGGCTGAGGTCACTTGGCCTGTTCAGCCTGGAGAAGAGGAGACTGAGGGGAGACCTCATCTCAGTCTACAACTTCCTCATGAGGGAAAGAGGAGAGGCAGGCACTGATCTCTTCTCTGTGGTGACCAGTGACAGAACCATGGGAATGGCCTGAAGTTGTGTCAGGGGAGGTTTAGTTTGGATATTAGAAAAAGATTCTTCCCCCAGAGGGTGGTTGAGCACTGGAGCAGGCTCCCCAGGGAAGTGGTCACAAGGACCAAACCTGACAGAGTTCAAGAAGTGTTTGGACATACTCTCGGGCACATGGTGTGACTCTTGGGGATTGTCCTTTGCAGGGCCAGGAGTTGGACTCAATGTTCCTGCTAGGTCCCTTCCAGCTCAACATGCTCTGTGATTCTGTGACTCGAAGCAGGTACTCTGAGACCAGGAACTGCAAAATGTTACCTATACCAGCGGCACTTCTGGGGGTGGTGGTCAGAGCGGGGCGTAAGTAAGACTGTGCTTTCATATTTTGTTGTTGTAACTGAGCTGCCAGATTTAATGTATTCCATTTCCAGGGGTTGATGGAAAATGCAGGGATGCTTGTGGTGCTGGCTATTCAGAGAATTGCAGAGATAATGGTACAAGATGACCTGACTCCTGGACTTTCCCCCACTGCATCCCTGCCAGCCCAACCGGTCCATCATCCACATGGCCCCATTGTCCCCCCCATCCCCATGAGTGGCAGGTGTTGAGTGGGGCTCTTGGGGCTCCTTTTGGAAACCCAGGATGCACCACCTACCCACCCACTGCTCATCCTGGTATTGAGATTCCATGGCAGTCTTGTCACATTCCACTGCTAGGAAATCCTGCTCCAACCCACAGTTTTGAATCTCCTGGACAGATATCCCATTGCTCTTATAGGCATTTTCCCTGAGGCCTCGAATTCAGGAGAATAAGATGTTAAATGAGCTCTGAATATGAACTGAAATACTTCCATAAAATCATCAGATCATAGAATCACTTAGGTTGGAAAGGACCTTTAAGACCATTGAGTCCAACTGTTAACCCAGAACTGCCAAAAAGTGCCACAACACACATCTTTAAATACCTCCAGGGTTGGCAACTCCACCACTTCCCTGGGAAGCCTGTTCCAATGCTTGACAAAATGCTAATAAGGTGTGCTGGATTTTTTTTCCCCTTTCCCCCCTAACTTTCTAGTTTCAGCTTCTGCTAGCAGAACCTTGACAAATCTTCATGATGAGAAGATTCCCAAAGTTCATAGAGCTTTGCTTACTTTTGGACTTGGTCATGACTACTCCAGCAAGTCACCTGGAATTTTGTATAATTGCCATTATACGATAGATTGAAAAACATAGATTATATATTGTTATAAAGTTTGAGGGTCTGTCCTTGCCAGGGTCCTCACAGGCTTTAGTCTCCTTGCCAAGGCTTCTGGGTGCAGGACCTCTGGCAGGGAGCCTTAAACCTCAACCCTCAAAATTAAGGGGAATTTCTAAAAAGGAAGGTGTGTGTTCAGTGTATCACCCAGCTAGGGCAAGGAGGAGCACAGGCAGAGGGGTGCAGGGTGCTGCCTGCTGTCCCAGACCCCTGCGCCTCTCTCCTCCTGTGTCCCATGGGATGCCGCGGGTAATAGGAGCTGCACGAGGTGGTGACAAGCTGCCGGCGTTCCGGGTGTTTGATCCGAGGAACTCACCAGTGAGACAGGAAATGTCAAGATTACATCACATGAATAATTTTTTTAAAGCCCTGAAAAAGACCTTGTTAAAGTCCGTGTCTCTGCAGTGTGATCCCAGCTCCTTTTGGTTTTGCTTTGCATTTCCACTTCATAGGAACAGGCAGGCATATCCTCCCCCCAGATATCGCTTTTTAAAATCCTTTTCTTTGATTTTACAGTGCTTTTGTTCACCATGGCCTTGGCACTCACTGGGGCTGGTGGAGCAAGTGCCCACTTTGCGGGGTCCCCCAAAGGATAGATGTGTGGGATGCCCACTGGGCTGTGTGGAGCAGGCCATCGCTCCAGCATCTGAAGCCAAGCGCAGGCCTTGGGCCTTTGGGGATGCTGGCTGCAGCCCAGCTTATCTGCACTGGGAAGGATGGAGAAGATGTGGGAGTGGAGCTGCCAGCCCCTTCCCCATGTGTTTGCTTATGTTCTGGGTGGGCACCCTGGGCAGCCCAACTGTGCTGCAGGGAGACACCATAACTTCATAGAGCAAAACTGCACCTCATTATTCCACTGATTTTGCAAAACTATTAAGGAGCCTCCAACAGAGTATGTGACCCACACATGTTTAATTTCTTTTATGGTTTCTGTTATGATATATGCTGGATGTGTTTTTATAAAATGAAGATTTATTGGAACCTGGAATTTTATGGCTTTAAGGTTCAATTGAGTCCAGATTGTGAGTTTCTCCTTTTGGAAGAGGAGAAGAAGGTTTAAAAGAGCCCATCTGCCTGTGGCACTTATGAAACTCTAGGCCAAGGATGACACCTTTTCCCTTAACTTCTACTATAACGTCAAAGCAAAAATTTACCATCAAATGTTATGTCTTCCATGTGTGATGCTGTAGATATAGATCGTGGAAATTCTGTTGGGTTTCTTTCTTTTAAGTTATTATCTGTGCCATAAGAAAGTCAGGACTCGGTGTAGGATCCAAGGATGAGTGGCGAGACAGCACAAACCCAGACCGTGCATAATTATTGACAATGTGCCTTTCACTTCAAAATGTGCTCTTGCGCTCTTGATTTTTCTCGTAAAAGCACAGCGATGCCTTTGCTGCCTGCAATGCTGAGGAAAGCAGAATGTTTTTAAAACATTGTAAGAGTGTAAGAGTAACTATTAAACACATTCCATGCATTCATGTAAAATTAAGCACAAACCAAAGCATTTTCTTGGATGGTAAACGTAGCTTAGTAAAGAATAACATCAGTTCAGAAGAACACTCAGACGTTTGCTCTGGGATCTGCCCAGGGAGGTGGTAGATGCCCCATCCCTGGAGATATTCAAGGCCCCTGCTCATTGCTGGGGGTTTGGACTAGATGGCCTTTAGAGGTCCCTTCCAACCCAAACCATTCTGTGATTCTAGGAAGTAGCTCTGTTGACTTCTGTAAAGGTATTTTGCCTTTGTGCCTGCCAGGCATGAGCAGGGCTGGGGGTCCTTGTGCTGTGGGGTTTCAGTAAGAGAAGGTCTTATGACTGCCTGCTCAGGAGCCTGGGGGAGCCAAAGTGTTCATCATCCACGTGCAACATGGTAAGAAAATAAGGAAACGCTGTATTTCTGCTTTGCTGCCAGTGTCAAACAGCCCCAAGTGCTCTGGTAGGAAGCGAACAGCATCCAAGGAAGCAGAGTCTGAGTCCAGCTCTCCGGTTACCACGACATAAGTAAACAAACAAGTTTATCACAAGTAATGAGGGCATTGTGCCAGCTTCAGTTAAAATAATGAAATGAAAAAAAAAAAATCAAACCCAAACCAACAAATCATTACAGCATGAGGAAAGTCCTGAATGAAATTGATTGTTCATGCCAACTCCAGAAATATATCTTGTCGTAAACTAGGGCCTCCACATCTGCTTCAGCACCAGCAGATTCTTTATAAACAGCCTCTTTAATTTTATCTAACAGCCTGTTCACAGACATGCAGTCCAAAAATACATCTCCTTTTCCTCCTCACACTATCCTGAGCTTGGCAGGGCACCAAACATGAGGTTCGGCTCCTAGTTCAAAAAAGCCCTTCTTTAAGCATCGACTGAACTTGATTTAATAAAAACTCTGTCCAGCTTCCTCCGGGCAGCCCTAATGGGATGCAGAGCCCTGCACTTCTCAGGGGCTGTTCCAAACCTGCTCCATGTTGGGCAGTAAGATTTTTTTTTATGGTGAAACAAAATTACTTTACACTGGAGTTGGGGAACAGGCTAGTGTTCTCCAGAGTGTCTCCTCTGAGGAGTACAGAACTTTACTTTCAGATATGCCACCCTCTGAAAATGAGAGTGAGCAGGCAGCACAAGCTAAGCAGAAGCCACACAATGGGATGTCCTGGTGCCACGGATACTCCAAGGGATGCTCCAGTGCCTCTGGTATCCAGCCCCCTCCTCCTGCTAGCCCTCCCTTCCCTAGAGGAAGGAGAGAAAATCATCAAAGCCCCTAATTTGGCTTCCAATCCCCAAGTTCCCCTGAGAGGGGAGATGAATCCATCATGCCCCCAGTGTGGCACCGCACTGCCAAGTGCTTATAGGTGCTTCTGAAGGAAAGAGGGTATTCACTGGCAGAGAGGGGGTGTTATACTGGGGCTTGTTCCCAGAGGTTAGCCTCGACACCTGTAGCAGGACAACCACCTCTGCACCTCCTGATGCTGATGTTCCCAAGCACAGCACCGATTTTCTGTCTGCTGACTGCCTGGGAAAACTGGAAGGGGCATTGGCTGCCTTTTAATGTCAGGACAAGAGTGGCTGATGTCACCTTAGAAGATGAAATACCTCCCTGCTTAATTGCAGACCCAAATTTCTCGAGGAAACTCGCACAACATCGCATTCACCACAATGCAGCATTTAGTGCTCATTAGCTCAGTAGTTGAAAATGTTTCATAATTATCCTGTTCGACAATCCAAGGCATGGATTTTGAGCCTCAAAGTTTGCAGTGATAAAGAAATATTAATGGCCTGGCACATCATGATGTTCAGGGGAAAAGGATGTTTAATAGTTTCTCCTTATGGTTCAGTTGTTTATTTAAATTACTTGGAAACTAAACCAGCAGCAAACATAACCACTGCTGTTGGGCGGCACAGTTAACAGTAAGTCGAATTTATTTAGCAAAAGATTAAATGGAGTAAAATAAAGGAGGGGGTAATTTCTTGAGTGTTCAGTGAGGCAGATCCCATTGCCAAGACATGGAGGAGGATCAACAGAAATCCCCCAGAGCCCATCCAGTCACTTGGTCATTCTGACAGAGGCAAATGAGCAGCACAGATGTCAATGAAAGGAAACTACTGCTTTTGGCAAAGGATGCTGCAGGTCTGTAGTGATAGAGGGACTCTCAGTTGGTCTGGGGGATGCTGGTGGCACCCTGGTGTTTTTTATCACCTCCTGGAGGGATTTTCTGAATGATCTTTGTGGTTGTGCCAGGGAGGCTTGAGAGCCTTGTGCTGCTTGGCTGTCAGTTCCCAGCAGCACTTGTCCTCTGCAACAGGAGGAAAAAGTGGGGTTTGCTGTGGGGGCTTGTGATCCCTCCAGTCAGGTACCAAATTGTACTTTACAAAGCACTGCATTCGTCCTATGATACCTTACTGATCTGAACATGGCTGATGCCAGCCAGCTGAATTTCAGCTGAATATTTAGGAGAAACAAATCAAAGACAGTTAAATGAATTGGAGAAGTGGGTTTAGCTGCCCAGCTGTGAGCTGCAGTACACTGATCCTTCCTCTAACATACTACACCAGGAATGTATTTCAGTTCCAAATTATTAAAAATCTCTCCATTTTGTAAATCACATTTCAGAAGCTATTTTAGTTGTACAAGCATCCACTTGTTAGCAGTATCAAAGTGCTAGTGATACCTGTGCATGCTCTGCAGGATTTCCTTTCATAACTACATTTCACATCTCCCTAGCACGGGTTCAGATAACCTCAGCTGAGATGTACATGTAGATCTCCCTAGCATTTCTTTTTTTGGCCTGTCTTATGACTAGTGGGGTCAAATGGAAAAGCCACTTCTGAGTTAAGAGGCCCAGAGGGATATGGTGGGCAAGGGAGCAGGATGTAGGCATGCACAGGCACATCTACTCAGGTGGTGGCTCTACCATCTTTGGAGAGGGATGGGGTTTTCCAGAGCCTCATCCAGCCAACGTTGGGAACTCTCCAAAGTCCTTTCAGCCTTGCTTACTCCCACTGGAGCTTGCAGGCAGTGATACTCTGGCTCTGCGCATTCTGTACAGAGTGCCTCTTGAAATCCTCTCAGGCAGAGATGCTAAAAGCCTTCTCCCAGTGAAGGCCGGAGGATCCAGCTCACTCGGGCTTAGCTGATACTGCACTAGGAAGAAGGATAAGAAGGAAGCTTGAAAAGGTCACACTGAGGCTGCAATTTCCAAACCAGTGTGAAGGAACTGGATGCCTTAACACTCTCCAGATTAAACACTTGTTCTTGCCTGTTAATGGAATGTGTTGTAAAACAGCATCTTCTTTACCTATTCAAGGACAATTAGAGGGAGGGACCCACTAATACTCAGGAAAAAACTCTTTGTCTGCAGAGGCTGCTTTTCCCCACAGGTTGTTGGCAGAAAATAGTGGCTTGTGAACAACCTGAGTCAATGGGGCTGCAACAACAGCAGAAGTGGAGGAAAGAAAACACAACCTCACAGGAAACTTAAACAGTAAACAGAGAAATAACAGGTCTGAGGCACCCATAGGTTTCCTGGATTCATTTCCCTCCTTTTCCAGCATTTTGCTGAGCACTATAGCACTATTCAAGCCATTATTACATTAAGAAGTTTTTTGGCTTTTCTGCCTGCAAAAAGACTCATCACTTTTAAATTGAAGGCATCACTGTCTTATCTGGTCTGCAGCCAGAGGGACTGGAAGCAATAGAAGTGTTAACTTTCTCCTTCATCTCAGAGAACATTAACTTCAAAGCCCAGCCATAAACTTTCAGATGTAATGACTATTTGTCCAAAAGAGAAACACATCAGCTTGACCAATGACTGAAAGGTATAAAACACAGAGGTTACATTTGCTAAACACTTGGGAAAAATACATGGTTGTAGTGGGGTGTGTGGAGGTGGAAAGTTACTTCTGAATTATTTGGGCAGGCGGGACCAAGGGGCAGCGTCAAGGTTGTCATGGGTGGTTGTAGGTTCAGCACTGAGTGGTTTCTGTCCCAGAGGAGGATGGGTTGTCATGTCAGAGTGTGCTCCAGTGTGCCCTTGGATGCAGACCTTCATCATCAAGTGGGGACCTTGTGGCTGTGCTGGCAGCCACACTACTGTGATGCTATTCCAAAAAACTGTGGGAGAAAACATTTCTTCTTGCAGCTGCTCAGACAAAGCATTCAGGACCATCAGCACTTTCTCTTGTGTCTTTGCTTCATCTGTGTGAACACTGACTAGAGAAAAACCTGCTCTGGGTGCAGCTGCCTTTTCCCTTGAGCTCCAGGGCACAGGGTCCAGGTAGTCAGTGTGCTAACACAGGTGGTAAGGCATGCTCAGAAATTTCAGGCATCTTTGGTAAGATTCCCCACATCCCTCCTATTTTTTTTAACATGCTTTCCATTTTTCTGATGAAAATTCCATGGGAAAAAGAGCGTAAGGATGTCTTTTTGTTTCCATGTCTTGAGTATGAGGAATCTAGATGGACGAGAATTATATAATGTGACCTTTTTCCACAGTATAAGCATTGCTTTTCCTGATAACATCCCTTCTCCCCTCAGCCATTAAGGCTTGTGGGAGGAGCTCAGACCTCATCCTCTCCCTAGGTGGTGGGTGCACGATCCTTGTACGCAGCACACAGTGCTTGGGGTGAGCACTTTGTAGGATTAATCAACTATTTGGTGAAAGTGTTTTCAAAAGAAGTAATTGGGACGACTTGCTGCTAGGCACCAGCTTCTGCTTGCTGAGGCTCCAGGGCTGGGGAATGCGGTCCAGACCTGTGTGATTCCTGTCTGAGGATGGAGAGGAGGAAGTGCCAGAGTACGAACAGAGATTTTGAAAGGTTCGTAACATCTTCTGCCAACATGTTTTTTGAATCAGCCTTGCGTGAACAAGTGAGAGCCCGGAAGAGCCATGTCATCCTTGAAGGACAGC